CCAAGGTATGTGAAGGTACCCTTAGACCTTCAATAACTTCTCTTTCGTCCAAGTTTCAAGAAGCGTCCTCATATACTCTAATAGGTCAAATATTGGCAGCTATATTTTGTTACAGCATTCAATGACTCTGCAATGTTTGATGTCATAGTCCAAGTTCTATTTACCGTTGCATGTACTCTTGACCATCTATGATAGCCAATATCATAGAGGTATGATTTAACACGAGGGTCTATCTCTTCAATCTTCGACATCCTTTCATTAAAATCATCCAGAGTGTATGCCCCTGCTGTAACAAAGTACAATTCATGTAATTGTAGATGACCCTTCTTGAATTTTGACCTTATATTTGTCCAAATATGCCACATACAAGAGTAGTGTGGCATGCCCGGATAGACAATTGATGTTGCCTTCATTATACTCTCATTTCTATCTGAAACAACACACATTGAAGGTCTTTCACCATATGCCTGCTTGAATTGCTCAAAGAACCACTTCCAAGATGCATCATTTTCAGAATCAACCACAGCATATGCCAAGGGCAATATTGTACCTACATTCAAAATTCATAAAATTTTAAATGGCAGATTTGCAGATGTATATAAAAATATGAATACACAACAACTACAATTTACCTTCAAATATAGATAAGTTATCTACATTTTATTTGTACTACCTACATAATAACTACAAACTTACTACAATGTATCCACATTTTATAAACTGCCTATAAAATAATTACTAAAATTTAACACTTTTTACTTGCTGCATCCATGGTGCTTGCAGTCAGCATAATCCCCCTGTAGGTTGACTTTAAGAATGTCCCATCAACAACTACTGCTGGCCTACAATGTTGCCAACCACTTATTGATGTAGAAAGAGCAACAAATGCGTACAAGAAGCATTCATCTGCTGTCTTCTTCAATTTAACATGAGAACCAGGGTAAGTCTCCTCAAGAATATAAAAATATTTGGGTAATTTGCTGTAGGAGTCAGCCGGATTCCCTCTCAAAAATTGTAAAGCCTTTTCTCTTGCTCTCCATGCTTGCATGTAGCTTAGGTTCACTCCGTGTTCTGCTAACATGTCAGTCTGTATGTCCTTTGGTGTGTACACAGTTTTTGGATCACAATACTTTGAAATGACCATGCTACCAACTACAGATGCAGTACATTTGCGCTGTATGAATGTTTCGCCCATTAAGGAGCATGTGTGTTGTCGGTTGAAACTCCTTATCTTGAACATTGCGGAATCATTAATTGATGTTGCCTTGAAGTGCCATTTACAGTTTTCACCAACACATACAAGCCAGTAGCTGTAAAAAAAACAACAAATTGTAATTGTAGGTGCAACAGAAGGATTGTTTTAAGGGAAAATAACATAAACTACAATTTAACTACAATTTATCTACAATATTAAAAACCACTTTTATTGAACAATTCACTGCTTAGAATTAGATTTTCTCTATACCTTTTATGACTAGATCTTTTAACTTTGAACTGAAACTTGTGCACCACAGAAAAGTGCTTCATTGCAGCAACTACAGTTTGCTTGTCCTGATACACTTGTCCTTCTTCAATATCGGTTTGCGTATACTCTTTTATTATTTCACTTTGATATTCCTCTATATCTGGAGAGGATGGCATATCAAGTAACTTTAGCGATCCAGATGAACCTGGATCAAAATAGAGATAAACAGTGTCACTATAAATTTGTAGAATCTTTGTAGATAAGTTGTGGATATCTAAAAAAAATTACAGTTATCTATTTTAAGATATCAGACATTGTAGTTACACTGTAGTTACATTGTTGCACTTTGTAGATTGCTCTCAAATCAATACTGTTTACTTCTTTCTTTATGAGAAATTGTAGTCACATTGTAGATATATGGAGTAAATTTGTAGATAATATCATAAAACTAAAATTCTAAGCATTTTTCGAACTACACAAACCTGCACTTGTGTTATCATTGGTGATTGCCAATTCCATATTGAAATCTCGTACACTTACACATAGCGGATATGAACCTAAGTTTTTATTCTCCTTTTTGGTCTCCATATACACACGAACCCCCATATCATTCCTAATCTCCATTTGCGGGACAATTGTCGTTCACGATGTATTTGATTTCTACAATTTTTTCAGCAGTATCAATTGATAGTTGTTCTGCAATTGTAGAGATCAGAGTACTGTAGCTTGCATTCTCATCTACCACAATGGCATCCACTTCAAAATCCCTAAATCTGCCATAGGTATCCCAATTGCCATTAAATTGTAGCATAATTGCGATTTTGGACATGATTTGTTGTCGATGTTGATATTTTTTTTTGATTTCTAGATTGAAAGAAGAAAAGATGAAGAAGAGATATATCTGATCGACAATTTGATAGAAGCAACAACGAATAACAGATTTTTTCAACTTTGAGTTGTTGAAACTCGAAAATTTTGAATTCTACAATTTTAATTCAAATCTTAGAAGTTGTTAGTAGTTGAATATTTTCGTAGTTTTTGTAGCTGTTAGTAGTTGAATATCTGTTCGTTCCTTTTTTTTTTCAGAATTTGAATTGTAGTTCTGGAGAAAAAAACGAAGATATGAAATCTCCTTTCCCTTTTTAAAGATTTAATTTAATGTAGAATCAATTATCACAAGAATCTCTCCTTAATTTTAGCGCGTTTTTAAGGAATATTCTGATCCATTAATGCCTGATTTTCGAATGGTATAATTTTTGTAGGTAAAATGTGGACTGGGCGGGTAATATACAAAATATACACATTTTTGGTAATAAACTTTCATATATGGTATAGGAAGGAAAAAATCCCTTTCTAATAAGTATTAGTATTTAGTAATAGGAATTACATTCTATGTCAGCCGGCCCAATCTCAGAACCAAAAATATCCCACATTTTAATACTTTACCCGACATAGCCCATTTTATAGATAATGCATACAAATAATATCATCAGTTAACCTAGCGTGGAGAAGAGAACTAGACAACCTCCTTTATTCATTTTTTCTTCTTTCTTCAACTTTCAGAGTGAAGTCAATCGAGAGGTCGCCGGTAAAGTTAACGATGTCATCGGAAAATAAATATGGCGGTGGAAAACATCCTTTATCCATTTTTTCCCTTCAATTTTCAAGGTAAAGAGGTCGACGACAAAGTCAGTGAAGTCATCGGAAAATGAATCTACGGTGGTCGACGATAATTTCAGACAATTTTCAAGTTATTGAGATGATGTTCCAGTTATATATCTTCTTTTATAAAACAATTTCATCTCATCTCTCTCCTCTTAATTTCAGATCTAACTTCCTCTGAAAAACTCTCTTTTGATATTTTGGTCTAGAAATGAGGTGTCATCTGTACATAAGATGTGNTCATTATCCCTCTGTATTTGTCTTGCACTGGTTTCTACGGGAAGCGTAAAGACATTGACTTCAAGACCATAAAGGCATACATTGAGAAACCAGTTACAGACCCTCTCAACATGCAGTAGTTGGTTGCGGAGATTCCTCAGCAAAAGGAAGGATCACTGTAAAAGACCTATTCTCTCTTTCTGATTGTTTAATTTTTTTTATAATCATTTGTTAAATAATTCAAATTTTGTGTCTTATGCAGCGATTGTGGTGTATTTGTGGCTGCTTTTGCGGAATATTTTAGCCTTGGAGATTTGTCAATCCCTTCAGAAGACCTTTTGGATATCGAACAACACCGTACACGCTATGGAGCTCTACTATGGGACTATGCTACAAAGAAGCAAGAAGATGGGTCAATCAGTGATAGTGAAGTTACAGGAAGGTTAGCAAGGAGGAAGGGTGCACCTGCTTTGAATGAGAAGACTAGAGTGCATAGAAAGAAGAAATAGTGTCCTGTTTTCCTAGTTTTCTTGATGCAAATTTGTAGTTGAAGGAGAATACACTACTTTATGAACAAAATTATTAAGTTTTTATTGCAGCATACAATATTGTTTTGTTATTTTATGTTTCATTATTAGTTATTTACTTCAATATAAATTGGCTTGTTTACAGCACCGTATCATCTTTATATTAAACATGAGTATTTTCATGAATATAGTTATTGTATATAAATGTTGAAGCTTTTTATCATAATTTTAAGATCTTTACCTCCAAGTTCTATGTAATATTTGTATATAACTGTCTGTTGAATATAAATTATACAACAAAAATGAAGAAATAAATACTCTAATTGTAGAAATGTGTTATCCACAATTAATCTGCAAATTGTATAGAAGATTTTACATAAACTACAATTTATCTACATTTAACCTACATTTTGACTACAATCTGGAAACAATTCACATGCAGTTACTTTTTATAGTCAATTGTATTGTACATAATTAGTACTAAAATATAATTACACTAATTCAAAAACTAATGTAGATGCCTGATAAGATACATAAAAGCATATTTAACACGCATGAACAAATTGTAGATGAATTCATAATGATCTTTAAAAACTTAAACGATTACACTACCAAAATCTGCTAACTTTAACCCACAAATAGTTAGTTTGAATAACCATTCTAACTACATGATATTCATTTCTTTTTGGGAGCATTCTTGCAAGATCTTTTGTTATGCCCTTCACCTCCACAATTTCCGCATGACACCTTGTACTTCTTAGACTTTATTTCATCATGTGTTTTATATCTTTCCTTTTGAGGTCTGCCTGGCTGCCTTTTATCTCCACTCGGTGGCTTTACTACCTCATCCAAAATATGTTGTGGCACATTCCATTTGCTTTCATCGGGAAGAGGATTTACTGGTATTTCATACGTACGCAGAAGGCTCTCCCTTGTGTAATATGGAGAGCAATAATTTTCGTATGTTTCATGCATGTGCCTTAATGCAGCCAAAGCATGCGCACATGGAAGTTCTTCAAGTTGGAATTGGCCACAGCTGCATATCTTATTTTCTAGACACACAATGTACCGCTTCACACCATCCAACACAGTATGTATATAATCTGTCGAAGCCCTCACCTACATTTTCAGAACAAACACGAAGAAAAAATAGTTACAATAATAAAAATATAATATCTGCAATATTTTTACATAAACTACAATTCGACTACATTTTGCCTACAATTTATCTACAATCTGGAGACACTGTGTATTAAAATATTTTTTTCCCTGCACCAAGACAGTGTATATTAAAGAGAGCATACCCTAAGTTTCTGAGATAATGTACTATTTTTCTCCAATTCTTTGTTGAATTTGTAACCAAGGTATGTGAAGATACCCTTAGCCTTCAATAACTTCTCTTTCGTCCAAGTTTCAAGAAGCGCCCTCATATACTCTAATAGGTCAAATATTGGCAGCTCTCTTGCATATTTTGTTACAGCATTCAATGACTCTGCAATGTTTGATGTCATAGTCCAAGTTCTATTTACCGTTGCATGTACTCTTGACCATCTATGATAGCCAATATCATAGAGGTATGATTTAACACGAGGGTCTATCTCTTCAATCTTCGACATCCTTTCATTAAAATCATCCAGAGTGTATGACCCTGCTATAGCAAAGTACAATTCATGTAATTGTAGATGACCCTTCTTGAATTTTGACCTTATATTTGTCCAAATACGCCACATACAAGAGTAGTGTGGCATGCCCGGATAAACAATTGATGTTGCCTTCATTATACTCTCATTTCTATCTGAAACAACACACATTGAAGGTCTTTCACCATATACCTGCTTGAATTGCTCAAAGAACCACTTCCAAGATGCATCATTTTCATAATCAACCACAGCATATGCCAAGAACAATATTGTACCTACATTCAAAATTCATAAAATTTTAACTGGCAGATTTGCAGATGTATATAACAATATGAATACAAATATAGATAAATTATCTACATTTTATTTGTACTACCTACAAAATAACTACAAACTTACTACAATGTATCCACATTTTATAAACTGCCTATAAAATAATTACTAAAATTTAACACTTTTTACCTGCTGCATCCATGGTGCTTGCAGTCAGCATAATTCCCCTGTAGGCTGACTTTAAGAATGTCCCATCAACAACTACTGCTGGCGTACAATGTTGCCAACCACTTATTGATGTAGAAAGAGCAACAAATGCGTACAAGAAGCATTCATCTGTTGTCTTTTTCAATTTAACATGAGAACCAGGATAAGTCTCCTCAAGAATATAAAAATATTTGGGTAATTTGCTGTAGGAGTCAGCCGGATTCCCTCTCAAAAATTGTAAAGCCTTTTCCTTTGCTCTCCATGCTTGCATGTAGCTTAGGTTCACTCCGTGTTCTGCTAACATGTCAGTCTGTATCTCCTTTGGTGTGTACACAGTTTTTGGATCACAATACTTTGGAATGACCATGCTACCAACTACAGATGCAGTACGTTTGCGCTGTATGAATGTTTCGTCCATTAAAGAGCATGTGTGTTGTCGGTTGAAACTCCTTATCTTGAACATTGCGGAATCATTAATTGATGTTGCCTTGAAGTGCCATTTACAGTTTTCACCAACACATACAAGCCAGTAGCTGTAAAAAAAAACAACAAATTATAATTGTAGGTGCAACAGAAGGATTGTTTTAAGGGAAAATAACATAAACTACAATTTAACTACATTTTAACTACAATTTATCTACAATATTAAAAACCACATTTTTTGAACAATTCACTGCTTAGAATTAGATTTTCTCTATATCTTCTATGACTAGATCTTTTAACTTTGACCTGGAACTTGTGCACCACAGAAAAGTGCTTCATTGCAGCAGCTACAGTTTGCTTGTCCTGATACACTTGTCCTTCTTCAATATCGGCTTGCATATATTCTTTTATTATTTCACTTTGATATTCCTCTATATCTGGAGAGGATGGCATATCAAGTAACTTTAACAATCCAGATGAACCTGCATCAAAATAGAGATAATTATAAATTTGTAAAATCTTTGTAGATAAGTTGTAGATATCTAAAAAAAATTACAGTTATCTATTTTAAGATGTCAGACATTGTAGTTACACTGTAGTTACATTGTTGCACTTTGTAGAATGCTCTCAAATCAATACTGTTTACTTCTTTCTTTATGAGAAATTGTAGTCACATTGTAGATATATGGAGTAAATTTGTAGATAATATCATAAAACTAAAATTCTAAGCATTTTTCGAACTACACAAACCTGTACTTGTGTTATCATTGGTAATTGCCAATTCCATATTGAAATCTCGTACACTTACACATAGCGGATATGAACCTAAGTTTTTATTCTCATTTTTGGTCTCCATATACACACGAACCCCCATATCATTCCTAATCTCCATTACGGGACAATTGTCGTTCATGATGTATTTGATTTCTTCAATTTTTTCAGCAATATCAATTGATAGTTGTTCTGCAATTGTAGAGATCAGAGTACTGTAGCTTGCATTCCCATCTACCACAATGGCATCCACTTCAAAATCCCTAAATCTGTCATAGGTATCCCAATTGCCATTAAATTGTAGTATAATTGCGATTTCGGACATGATTTGTTGTCGATGTTGATGTTTTTTTTTTTTTGATTTTTAGATTGAAAGAAGAAACGATGAAGAAGAGATATATCTGATCGACAAGTTGATAGAAGCAACAACGAAGAACAGATTTTTTCAACTTTGAGTTGTTGAAACTCGAAAATTTTGAATTCTACAATTTGAATTCAAATCTTAGAAGCTGTTAGTAGTTGAATATTTTCGTAGTTTTTGTAGCTGTTAGTAGTTGAATATCTGTTCGTTCCTTTTTTTTTCAGAATTTGAATTGTTGTTCTGGAGAAAAAAATGTAGATATGAAATCTCCTTTCCCTTTTTAAAGATTTAATTTAATAAAGAATCAATTATCACCAAGAATCTCTTCTTAATTTTAGCGCGTTTTTAAGTAATATTCTGATCCATTAATGCCTGATTTTCGAATGGTACAATTTTTGTAGGTAAAATGTGGACTGGGCGGGTAATATACAAAATATGCACATTTTTGATAATAAACTTTCATATATGGTATAGGAAGGAAAAAATACCTTAAATAAATTACAGGCCTAAGTTCGAACCACCACGTAGCTTAACATACAGTATGTTAACAAAAGGAATTTCTATATCGTTCAGCAAACCTACACAGATTAGTCTGATATTAAACTTACAGTAATGATTAATTGCATCAAAGGTCACATTTTAAACTTATGATAACAAACATCGTTAATAAAAAAATTCTACGAGAACAGAAAAAAAAACTCATTGATCCCACCTAGTTGACATCTACATAATCATGATTTTCTCACTTCAAGTCCTTTCTAACTTTCACATTTAAAACCAAATTTAAATCCATTTTTCCGTGCTCATACACTGACTATCGCGACAATGATCAAACACGAATCTTCTTTACCACATGCATGACTATCCATTCTAATGCTTTCATATCTAAATATAGAATAATCCCAGAAAAATTCCAAAGCATGCTCCATTACTTCCCTGTATAAATCACTTCAATCTAGCAACTTAACTTCACATTAATAATAGACTATGAGACAGTTGTCAACATTCTGAGACTAAATTTAAGCATTTCTGATCAGAATCAATACATATGGCATATGGCAGAGATTTAAACAAGATGAAAAGGTTTCAAACACAACTGATGCATAGACATGCTGAAGAAACATACAAAATCAACTCATTTTTGGGCAGGAAAAATTAATAGTCTATTCATATAAACCAAACAAAGCTCATACATAGACTTATGGTGTGTACCTATTTGCATGAAAATCGTGAAGCCTTGACCAAACAAAGGTTTGGAGATGTTTAAGGAGAAGTTCAGCTAAGCAGATCCAATAAGTCAGCCACAAGCAGGTTCCTTAACAGCTTGATTCAGTTTTGAAAGTTCAGGAATTAAGCAGCAAATCAACAAGAATTGAACCAGAACAGTCCTTGAAGAAAACCAGAAACACAGTAGAAGAATACTGCTTTTGAAACAACCACAACTTTTTTGGAAAATTCAATCTCTTTTATCCAAAAATGTTTTTTTAGCTCTTCTTTTAGGTGAGTGTGTTTTAATGAAGAATGCCAAGATAAAAATTGCCTAAAAAAGAGAATGTAAATGAGTTTTTATGCATAAAAATGAAGGGTGCCTTACGAGAGAGCGAGAGAGGGTGTGAGAATATTCTGCCAGCTTCCTAAAAATTAGAGAATTAGCATCTTTTGCAACTGAAATGGACAACTGTCATTTTCAGATATTTTTTCTTATTTTTCAAACCTTTAGCTTCTGAAAATTCACCCTTTTTAACCCTAATTTCAGTTGTCTTATTACATTTTGACCCCTTCTAGAGGCTTCCTATCAAATAACAGAAAGATTCTCTAATTTTCATATTCTTTTGACCCCTTGAAACTTTTATTAATTACAAATGAACCCCTTCAAAAGAGCAAACATACTCAAACAGACTCAATCAATAACCTGCTTCAATTCCCAATCGAATCTGGACCAATTAATCTAAATTTACGCAATTATACTAATTATCTTGTAGTTGAACTACTAAATCACGCAATTAATTATTTACCCTAAACATATAACTAAATAATTAACAAACTATGAATGCAAAGGCTGCAATTAATTAAGAACTACACCATTCTGGTTAAAATTAAATCAAAGAAACGGAAATACTCTCAATTAAATGCCATAATGACTACAAACTGCTTTTTAACCAACGACAAAAAAAAATGAAAACGTGATAGAGTGAGGCAAGGGTATACCTATTGAAAGAAAGACAAAGCCATTGAAACGATTTTCGATAAGATTTGGCCGGTCAGTGACTGTTTGACGAAGCTCCGGTGAGTTTCGGAATGAACCAAAACTAACATGTTGCTCGTGTTAAGAGTGAGCCAAAACGAATTACAGATTAAGAAAGAGACAAACTTAGGGTTTTCTGCTTTTTTTTTAGATTTGAAAATTGGACAAATATACAATGATTTGAAGGGAATGACTAGGAGATTTAAGGAGAGGGGGAGGTGAAGATTATCTGGTGAAGGTTTGAAGGTGTTTAAAGGTGGGCCACTAGCGGAGGATTCTTGGGCGGCTAGGGTTTGAGTGGGAGATGGGAGAGAGACAAGGGAGATGAAAGAATGAGGTCTGGTCTCTAGGGTTTGGGGGAGGTTTTTTAGACAGTTTTAAGGGAAGGGGTAAGGAGTTCCGGTCCGTTGGATCGGTAGGCAATCAACGGTTGGAATCAAATGAGAGTAAAACGAGGTCGTTTTGGGTGCTTGAAGACTGGACCGAGTAGGGTAATTGGACTGGGGCGGATTTGTAGAGCGATTAGACCACTGAACTTACTCTGGCCCAATTCTAAATAGAACCAAACCAAACTCTTCCTTTCCCTTCTTTCAATTTCAAAAATAACCCTTTTATTGAGCACTCCTAATTCCCACTATTTTGCAAAATTAACCTAATAATTTATTTTCTAACAATTAACTAATTTATTCAACTAACAAATGCATGTAAAATTATTGATGTATTTTTGTTATGATTTTTACGTATTAATTCTACAATTAATAAGTAATTAATGATATGGAATGAAGATTTGAGAATTTTTATGGTTTTTTTTATTTATAATTTTAAGATATTAAATATGCAAAAAAATACAACTAAATGCAAACAAAAAATTACAAAGAAATTCCTAAACATTCTATAAAAATAAAAAATAATTAGAAAATTTTTATTTTTGTTGGATTTTGTAGGAGTATTTTCGTATGGCAAAAATACGTGCTCACAAACTCTGCCTGCCTAAGAGAGAAACTTAGTTGTCTAGCTTGTAGTTCTTCCCAATATTCTTTCAATTAATGGTTGACATTGGCTTATTGAAAGTATTTTTGTACTAAGTGGCACTCCCAAGTATTTAAATGGCATTTCCCCTTTAGTAAAACCAAGTATCTCCAGTATATTCCTCTGTGCTTGTTCTCTCACCCCTCCAAAATAGATAGAACTCTTCTCCTTGTTTGCTACCAGACCTGAAACCTGGGAGAATTCTTGAAAATAATTGTAAAGCATTTGCACAGATATTAAGTCACCCCTACAAAAGAGTAGTAAATCATCTGCAAAACCTAGCTGAATCGGCTTCATTTTGTGCATCGTGGGTGGTAGTTAAAGTCAGGTTGCTCATCCAATCTTTTAACCATCATGCAGAAGTAATCCATAGCCAGTACAAACAGGAATGGGGACATAGGGTCCCCTTGCCTCAATCCTCTTCTAGCTGCAAAGGGTTCCGTAGGCCAACCATCGATGCCAATTGAATAAGACACTGACTGCAAGAATCCATAACCCACCGTATGAACTTGTTAGGGAAATTCATATGTATTAATACCTGTTCAACAAAAGCCCACTCCAGTGAATCATATGTTTTTTGCATATCCACTTGCATCATACATCTTGAGGATATCTCTGTCCTCCATATCCTTTAACCAGTTCATGACTTAGAATTATATTGTCACTTATCACTCTTCCAGGAACAAATGCTGATCGGCTATTAATGAGATTATCCATCACACTCTTCAATCTGATAGTTAGTATCTTAGAATTTTTTTTATACAGCACCGAGCAACAAGAAATAGGCCTAAATTCCTTCACTGAAGAAGGATTCTTCACTTTAGGAATTAAGGTCACTAAACTACAATTAATTGGCTTATACAAGGCAGAGGTCTCAAAAAAATGCAATACAGCAGCAGTAATATCTTCTCCCGTCACTGACCAAGCTTTCTTGAAGAATAGAGCATTGAAGCCATCACTTCCTGGCGCTTGCATATCTTCTATATCCTGTAGAGCTAGGTAAACTTCTTCTTGTGTCACTTATTCAATCAAGGATAGCTGTTGGCTTCTGGATAATATTTTTCCATTTCTACATATCTCTGGACTAATAGTATGTAGTTGTGATGTAGCTGTCCCAAGTAATCTTTTGTGGAATCTTTGGATCTCCTCTTTAATTTCAGCTTCAGTCTGAGTTCAATGACCAGAAAGAGTTCATCAGTTTCTTAATCTGATTACGGGCAACTCTATTTTTAACATTCGCAAAAAAGTAAACTGTATTTGAGTCTCCTAATTGCAGCCATTGTATTCTTGACTTCTGTTTATAAATACTTTCTTCTACCAATAACCACTTCTCCAGTTCCTTTTCCAGAGTTCTTTCATTTTCAAACAATGTTGCATCATGTCTATAGTATCTCATTTGTTCCTGTAAAATATTTTCTTTTTATGTTATAGATAGATTTTTTTTATTTCAACAAATGAGTATTTTATTTTCAAGATATAAAAAAGTTTTTTTTTCATTTTAATAAAAAAATACTTTCTTTTCATGATTTAGAAGAACTATTTACATTCATTTCAACAAAATGAGTATTTTCTTTTCATGTTGTAGAAAAAATTATTTCTTTCATTTGAACAAAAAAAGTATTTTCTTTTCATGATGCAGAAAAAAATATTTTTTTCATTTCAACAAAATAAGTATTTTCTTTTCATGATGTATAAAAAGTATTTTCTTCTAGTTCAATAAAATAATTACTTTATTTCATGTTCTATAAAGAGTACTTTCTTTTTCAACAAAAAAAGTGTATTTTCTTTAAAGCTATGGAGCATAAATTTCAACGCTGTTTTGCTTAAAAAAGTAAAGCAGCACTGTGACGACCCAAAGGGTCATCACCTATATTCTTATCCATTTCGTGCTTCCGAGGCCTTGAAAACCTCATTTTTGGTCGCCTCGATTTGCGTGTTCAGTCCGGACGCGTAGACGGAAAGCTTAAATATGAAATTCTGTGAAAAATGCTAAATTTTGATGTTAAAATGAATAAATTTGACTTCGGTCAATATTTTGGGTAAACGGACCCGGACCCGTGATTTGACGGTCCCGGAGGGTCCGTAGGAAAATATGGGATTTGGGCGTATGTCCGGAATCGAATTCCAAGGTCCCAAGCCCGAGAAATGAATTTTTGAGTAAAATTATTTTTCTGAAATTGTTAAGGAAAAATTGTAATGAAAATCGATTAGAACGTGTTGGTATCGGGCCCGTATTTTGGTTCCGGCGCCCGGTACAGGTCTTATATGTAATTTAAGATATTTCTGTAAAGTTTGGTTGAAATTGGACGTCGTTTGACGTGTTTCGGGCTATAAGTTCTAAGTTTGAAAGTTAATGAAGTTTGAGGAAAAACTTATGATTTTGAGGTTTGATTCGTTATTTTTGATGTTATTTTGGCAATTTGATCGCACGGTTAAGTTCGTAGAATGTTGTTGAGTTAGTTCACGTGATTGGTTAGGAGCCCCGAGGGCTCGGGTGTGATTCGGATGTGTTTCGGGATAGTTTTAGCCTAAAAAATGTTGCAGAAATGACTGCTGTTGGCTGTCCAGTGCTTTCCTCTATGCGATCGCATAAGAGGGGCCGCGATCGCATAGAGCAAACTTCAGGGGTTCACAAATCCTTCTATGCGATCGCATTCTCCTCTCCGCGATCGCGATGTATAAAGCCAACTTTCATTATTTTCCTTCTATGCGATCGCGTGTTATTGTCCGCGGTCGCAGTGCTCAGAAACTCTACTCTATGCGATCGCAACCTTATGTACGCGATCGCAGTGCACAACAGGACTTACCCTATGCGATCGCAATCTCCTTCCCGCGATCACGATGAACAAATTCTTCCAGTTATTTCAATTCTTCAAAATAGAATGCAAACGGGATTTTCATAACACTTCTCAAACTCTTTCTTCTCCAAGGTCCTTAGGCGTCCATTGAAGCATCCTTTCACCATTAACTCTTGGGTTAGTAATTTTTAACTCGTTTTCTTCATTTTCCATCAACATCTATTGAATTCCTAGGCCTAGAACATGTAATTTAGGGTAGAAATTGGGGGAAATGGGTAGAGTTAGGGATTTTTACTTTTTCTTGATTTAGACCTCGTTTTGGGGTCGAATTTGGAAACAAATTATATATTCGGGCCCGTGGGGGAATGGGTGATATGAATTTGGTCCGTACCTCGTATGTTGACCAAGCGGGCCCGGGGTCGATTTTTGGAATTTGGGAAGAATGATGGAAAAGCTATAATTAGGCATTGGGTTTGATTTGTTTAGCCTATATTGATGTTATGAAGTCATTATTGTATAGATTTGATTGATTTGGAGCCGAATTCGAGAGGGAAAGCGGTTGTTGTGGATTGACTTGGCCGTGGAAGTTTGAGGTAAGTGTTTGATCTAACCTTAGCTTGAGGGAATAGGTGTTGAGTCTTATTTGCTTGCTAAATGTCGAGTGCGATGTATAGGCATGGTGACGAGTATCTATACATTGGTGTCTAGCATGACCGTGAGTCTTTATATTGCGAATATTTGATTTTGTTGTATCTCCCATGCTTAATTGATGACTTCTATATGATATAAAGAGCATGTGAAAGAAATTGGGATCTATGAACTTCGAGGAGCATTGGCTCGAGTTGTGAAGTGAATTGTGGAGTAAAAGTGAGAAAAAGAAGAGATCATTATGTTGCCCCTTTGCCGGGCTATTGTTGAGTTGTGGTTCCCTTGCTTTGTGTTCTTAATTGATACGGATGTTTAGGTTGATGATTCTTTGTGTTGGGTAAGTATTATGGTTATAGCAGAGGTGGTTAGGTGTTGTAACAAGTTTGGTTATAGTTGAGGTAGTTAGGTGTTGTAACATGTTTGGTTATAGTTGAGGTAGTTAGGTGTTGTAACATGTTTGGTTATAGTTGAGGTAGTTAGGTTTTGTAACAAGTTTGGTTATAGCTGTTTCTCCCTAGTCGGGACGTAATTACCTATGCTGTCGAATTCATTGTCGGGATAGTGTAGACCTTATTGATTCCTTGTCAGGACTCTTGTTATGGTTGTTGTTAATATTATATGTGGATCGGGTTACACGCCGTAACAATGATATTTGTGGATCGGGTTGCGCGCCGCAACAATGCTAAATGATATGGATCGGGTTGCACGCCGCAACAATGCTAAATGATATGGATCGGGTTGCATGCCGCAACAATACTATATGTGGGTCGGGTTGCACGCCGCAACAATACTATATGTGGGTCGGGTTGCACGCCGCAACAATATTATATGTGGATCGGGTTGCACGCCGCAACAATGCCAAATGATATGGATCGGGTTGCACGCCGCAACAAT